GCCAGTTGCTCAACGGTCGGGGAGATGAAGACTAGTCAGGGATAGCTCCCTCGCCAGAAATGGGTGCCTCCGCCGCTATTTTTATTCTTGAAGCATGGTTCTGGGTGGGCGATTTTAATACCGATCAGTTTTGATTGTGGTTTAGGTTGTGCCAGGTGAGCAATTCGACGTGTCCAGGACTGACGCTGGTCTAGAGCGCCTGGAACAGTTTTAGGCTTAGGGCTGCCGCCGTGCGTGTTGACGGAAAAAAAAAAACGTTTTCTGCCTTGCCCCTTCCTTTGAGCTGTGGTATAGGCGGATCCGCATCTTATTCAGCGCGAACAAAGTGATGGTGCCAGCGAGCGGGCCGTCGCTGCATCCGTCGATCCGGGGGGTCAAGCACCGAGGCGCGAGGAGCCGAAGCGCCAGGGCCGCCGGCGCCGGAGGAACTGAGCGCCGGAGGGGCGAACTTGCGGTTTCGGTTTGTCTCGAGGGCGGGCGGGGCTCGACTGGAAGCTCTGAAACCCAGCGACTCAGCCCCTGAGGTCATAGATCTTGGAGGTTGTTTTTTGTTTTGTTTTTTTCTCCCCTCCTCTGCGTTTCTTTTTTTTTGGAAGGGGGGTGGGGAAGGCCACTTTAGTGGTACACAAGATGTTTTGTTGCTTTTGCTTTTTGCCATCCATTAGGATGTGAGACTGGGGGCTTTTTGGAATCACTGCATTTGAAGGTTCACTGAATTAATATGGACCAGAAGCTTCAGTGAAGAAGGTTTAGCTTCAGTTAAGAAGGTTCGTTTGAATCAATCATAGTCATAGTTTTCAGGTTGTTGGCTTCTTAACTGGGCGGTTCTCGATGGGATCCACATAGTGTCCCGCCATGGTGCCAAAGGATTAGGTTGGCAATCAAAATCTATCTCCATGCCAAAGGGTTGGCAATCTAGAAAAGATATCTCCATGCCAAAGAATTAATCAATCTCCATGCCAAAGACTTAGGTTCTGAGTAATACATTGGGATGTGGATTGGCTGACAGCGACCCTGAATAAGGGGCGCATGATTTTGATTTCGACGGTTTTACCAGATTGTGAAAGTCAGAAACTTGGGCAACGTTCCTGAAATTTGATGCCAGAGTGAAGGGCCCTCAATTGCTTGTGAGACATGCTCGAATTCAGGTGCCGGAGAAGCGGTGTACAGATGTACAGATGCGCATCAGGATTCAGCTGGTCTGAACCTAAGTAGAGGAGAGGAGTTGTGGGCATAGGTGTCCTTTTTGGTTGGTTTGCTTAAAAATCGAGGGTGATTCCTGGTTTAGATGTTGTTGTTTTTTTCATTTACCAGGTTCATCTATTTTTCCAAAAGGCCACCTATGGTTGTGGGAATGTAATTTGTATTCCGGTCAGTCTACCGGCATCGATGTTCCCAGTTGTCCGTGGGCTTGTGGGTCGCTGAATTGGTTTACAATTCACCTTGAGCACTGTTTGCAGGTCATTTTGGGTTTACAATCGTTGAGTACCAACGAAGTTTCTCGGAGCCTCCATCACACTTGGGTGGTTCGTCATTTATCGGTCCATGTTTTTTGCGGTTTTGCAGCCTCATTGAGGCGTTCCCGCATGTTTTGCGTTTAGGATTTCCACAATCCTATGTTTGTTCATTGCCAGACTTGGCACATGTTAATTGCATGCTATTGAATGTGGTTTTCCCTTATGTTCACGCTTGTAGTCCTTGGTTTTCACTTTCAACCGCAAAACGGCTAGCTTTTTGTTCTTTACCAGCAAAGCGCAACTTTTTGCGAGTCGGATGCGTTGGTGTCATCCAGTGAATCCTGGGGCGTTGCTTCCAAGCGAGAGACGTGTCAAGTGGAAAGGCAGGTGCTTGCCTGGTGACTGGGGTTGGGCAAGGCGACCCTTGGCGCCAGGGCGAGGCGAACCCACAGGAGCTTGTGTCAACACTCGTTCAGACCAGTTGGGTATGGGTCAAGAATAAACCACCAGGAACTGGACCGCAGGTTTTGGTCCTTTCCATTTACCCCGTTTTGGGTACCTGTTTTTGACCCACATGCATTTGAACATGCTCCGAATCACTTGGGAGCCCATGGGGCGATTTTTTGACCAGCCATGTTCAAAGCAGCTGGCCCAACCCTGGGCACCAGAAACGTATAGACTCAAGGAATTCGGGCGTTTAAGAGCAGTTCAGTTTTCTACCAATTAGCTTTTCCCGAATGGGAATACGTGCAGCAAGGCAGACGATCAAGCGTCGATGCAGCAACTTGGTTGCTCTCAAGGCAGACGAAGCGTCGATGAGTTGGCATGGAAAATGTTCAAAAAGGCTGAGGGGAGTCACCGCTACAGCACGTAGCTCCCTAACGTTTTAATGCTTTCGTCACCACCACCACCACCACCACCACCACCACCACCGCCACCGCCACCGCCACCGCCACCGCCACCGCCACCACCACGACCACGACCACGACCACGACCACCTTCACCACCTTCACCACCATCGCCACCAACACCACCACGACCACAACCACGACCACTTTACCACCATGACCACAACCACGACCACCTCCACCACCATCGCCACCACCGCCATGACCATGCACTTCTGTTTGTTTCACGTCGGAAGCTGGAGCCTGCCACGTATGGCCATGCCGCAATTGGTTTCCTCGCCTCAAGGGGTGGCTCAAACATATACCCACCGCCGCTGATGCTGAAATGTGTTGACCAGACACATTGCCCAAACTTTGGGACTTGGGTTCGGTGTGTCTTGATTCTGAGGGAACCCCCTTTTCTGTTGGTCTTACAGAAAACCAAAAGGAACACCCACGATTTTGGGGGTCCAAGTCCGGAGAAAACAAATGCGATTTTGGGGGTCCAAATCCGAAAAGAAAGGACAAACCTAAGCCAAGAAGCCCTGCAGGACAAGGCCAGTGCGTCGAGTTTTTGTTCGCCCCTCGCAGCCGTGCTGGCTGAGAGCCACGGATAACACCAGCGAGCGAACACCGAGCGGTCATGGAGCTCCCTGCTACTAGGAATATCCACTAGGAATATCCACTAAGAGGTCAGGCCCAACTTGCAACTGATGGCCCCAGTTTCAAGAGAGATTGTTAGAAAAATCTAGAGAGAGAGAGAGAGAACAAACTCATTCAAGAGAGATTAGCAGAAAAATCCAGATGTCCGGTCGGACCAGCCTGCATTGACTGTTCAAGGCCAAAGTGTGATCGATGTGTTGGGCGACAGCGCTTTCGAAGATGCGGCCCTTACTACAGGAAAGAACCAACTTGAGAGCCGTTCCCGTGCATGGCAGAGGAGAATCCTGCCAAGCGCTTGCGCGGCATGGGGTCTTATATAGGCATCGCTGTGCTTGCCTCGGGATGCCGGCCGGAGGTTCTGATGATGATCTGATTGAGGGGCGAACCTCGCAGAAAGGAGGCTTTGGTTAAGGCTTGGGCTATTGTTTTGGCCGGAGCTTTCTCAACTCATGGGCGTGGCGTTTTTGAGGGCAAAACCACCTCGAGGTTTCAAAAGGGATATCCCCTGCTTTTGTTGGAGGGCAAGCCTTTGTTTTACTTTTTAGAGCTAGGGAGGTCCTCTTCTTTTTCTCCATTTCTTGGAGAGAAGCCCTTGTTGAAATGGAGATGCATGGTTCTCATTTTCAGGGTGCTCATATTTTGAGCCAAACCCATGCAAACCCAAAGCCCTTGACACCCCACCCCCCACCCCACCCACCACCCCGAGGCTGCGCCGGAGGTGAAATACACTCGCGCCTGGCGCTCAATTCGCTGAGTAGCATGCAGTACACTCCCTTCCATAATCTTAGAACTACAACAAGCTTTTTTTTTTTGGGGGGGGGGGGTTCCAGGTTAGTAGAAGCCCTTCGGGTGACCCAGGAAGTGCCAGGTTAATGCAAAACCGGCTTGACTCTGCTAACGTGGAAGTTGCTGGAAATCGCGGTCATGTCCCCAGGAAAACCAGGCATGGATGGAGGGACTCTTTTTTTGGAGTTTTCTTTTTGGGTGGTACCCTCTTTGGGGTGGTGTTAAAGGGAAAACCAATGGACAACTTACTATTTTGGGGCTCCCCAAAGAAAAGACACGCCCATTTTACCCCTGCGCCCTTACAAGTCCATGTTTGGGGTCGGCGGTGACGAATAAAAAACACATTTGGGGGTACCCTTTGGAAACTGGGCGCAAGGTGTGGATGCAAAAAAGTACTCACAAGAACCAGGGGTCTATGCTTACATGGAACCCAGCTAGCCAACCGACTGGACAGGATGTTGCCCTTTTTCCGGGAAATACCTGGGAGCCCCCAGGTCTACGGGCGGTCTAGATAGTAAAAAACCTGGCTTGCAGGCAAAACAATCTATGGTAGTGAGTGCCAGCTTCATTTTGCACAGGAAGTTCCATGATTGTTTTCGCTTTTTTCCTGTGGGGTTCAAGATTATGGACCAGAGAGTACCCTCCCATCCGCTTTGCAAACTGTTCCAGCCACGATTTGCCATCAAACGGCATGAAACACGTGATCTCCCTTTGGTAGGGGTGGACATGGGGGCCATTCGCCCTGGATTGTCTCGGAGGTTTTGGCCTTTTTGTAGTGGGGCATGTGAGGGGCTACTTGTTAGCACCCGACCCCGTCTAAAAGACCCCCCGGGAAATCAGGCGCCAGGCAATTGGCATGGAGGCTGCCAGCGAACAGTGGCGTGAAATTTGGAGTAATGCTTCGCTTGCAGGTTTGTCAGTTTCTTAGCTCCCAGGTCTGAGCCCAGGGGCCCCCAGCCGAAAGCCGAGCCTTCGGACGCCTTAAGCCGCACGCCTCAAGCCCTTCACGGGTCAGGTGGTCACCATCCGCACGAAGCAGAGTGAGCCGGGTGGCTGGCAGAGGCAGGCAGAGAGTGTTGGTCCTTTTTGGTGGCCTGTTTTTGCGGGAATAATAAAAGAAAAAACCAAACAACAGAGTGCCATAAAAGTCAAAACTAACACAAAGAGTGGCACAAGGAAACTGGAAAGGGGAATAATGAACTGAACTGAGCCCAGGACACCTCTTTTAGACAAGTCTAAGATTTATGTGTGATGGATTTGGATGGGGATCAACAACTTTGGTACATGTAAAGGGAAATTAGTAGTCATGGAAGTGGAATGGAATCAATCACTTTGGTATCACAGATTTCAGGTCATTCGCGCGAATCGACCGGCCAACTTCCCTGAGTTGCAGTCTTTCTATGTTTGGCAGGTCGCGACTTGTGACGCAGAATCTGAAAATATATGGGTGTGGGTCAAAATTAACCAGGAGGGGTTACGCAGGTTTTGGTCCATGTTTCCACTTACCAGGGTTCCATTTTGGCACCAGTTTTTTGAGCCACTGCCATATGTTTTTTTTTTTTCCCCCCCCAACGGCTGAAAGCTGTGAGCTTTGACAGTTCTTCGAGTTTGCTCTCCCGGGGAACGAACTTGCCTGCTTGAAGAGCGCTTGTCTTGATTTCAGGCTGGTGCACTGCAACCATGCCATGCAGATTCACATAATATGCATATTCATGTGTTTCAAGT